TCATCATCCGCATCATCATCGACAGCATCATCATCAGCATCATCATCAGTATCATCAGCATCAACATCACCACCATCAGCTTCAATCTTTAGCACCACCATCATCAGCGTCATCATGAGAATCAGCACCAATATCATCAGCATCCGCATCATCAGCATCATCATAATCATCGTCATCTTCATCAGAAGCAGCAGCCGCAGCAGCAGCATCATCGTCATCAGCATCATCATCATCATCATCATCGAAATCATCATTACCGTCATCATCATCACCACCACCACCATCATCATCTTCATCATCATCAGCATCAGCATCAGCGTCATCATGATCATCATCAGCATCAGCATCGCCATCATCATCATCACCATCATCATCATAATCATCAGCAGCAGAAGCATCCTCACCCTTTTCCTCCTTCTTCTCCTCATCCTCCTCAGCGCAGCACAAACACCATCACCAGAGTCAGCATCATCATCAGCAGCAGCATCAGCATCAGCATCGTCCTCATCATCCTCCTCCTCCTCCTACTCATCGTAGTCATCATCATCAGCATCATTATCATAATCAGCATCAGCATCATCAGCATCAGCATCAGCATCAGCATCAGCATCATCAGCATCGTCATCATCATCGTCATCATCATTATCATCGTCATCGGCATCGGCATCAGCATAATCATCGCCATCACCATCATCACCATCATCATCATCATCATCAGCAGCAGCATCATCATCAGTCACAGTCATAGTCATGGTCCTAAGCACAGTCATAGTCCTAGTCCTAGTGGTAGTCCTAGTGATAGTCCGAGTCATAGGCATAGTCATCGTCATCGTCTTAGTCATAGTCATCGCCATGATCATAGTCAGAGCCATCATCATAACAATGAGCATATTGATACTCAGACTCATAGTCATAGTCCTAGTCCGAGTCCTATTCCTAGTCCTAGGCATACTCCGAATCATAGCCATCATCATTCATCAGATTAGATCGCGCCGCCTCCACGCACCACCACTGGAACGTCCACTTGGTGGCCCAGAGCACGCACCACGCCGAGCACATGCCGGTGGCGTTGAGCATGGTGTTCAGTATGCGGGTCAGGCCTGGCGCGGGGCTGGCGCGAGGCAGGGCTAGAAGACCATCAGAGCGGGGACGACGACTGGGGATCGACGTGGGAGGCAGGAGCGAGGAAGTAGGGCCGAGGGAGGACGGGAAGAAGGGAAGAAGGAGAGAGGCAGGACGAAGGACGGAAGGAGGAGAGGCTTCTTGTGGCGGCACACATCTGATCGTCGCAGACACGTCGGGTCAGAGGAGGAGCCGAAGGAGGCGGGACGAGAGAAGACGTGGGACGGAGGAAGACGAAGCAAGCAACGGGCAGGAGGAGGGTGAGAGAGGCGAGGGGGTTCCTCCTCCTCCTGCTCCTCCTCCTCCTCCTCCTCCTCCTCTTCCTCCATCCCTGTTCCTCATGAACAACTCCTCCCTGTCGCACACGCAGACAATTCTGTAGGCTGGGCTGGGCGTTTCGTCTGAGACTTCCTCCTCACCATTCACGAGAGTAAAGCTGGAAATTAGCAACAAGAGCTTCACGGATACACGGCGGGTCCTGCTCAAAGTGTAGTGCTGGCCGTGACGCCGCGGACAATCGTCTTTTCAAAGTGCGCACCCGCTTCAAGAATGTAGGGCGGGTCCGTTTCAAAATGTGGCTCTGGCCTTGAAGCCGCACACAGACGTTTTAGACGTTCGTACAAAGTTCAAAGATGGGGGGCGATAAATGTTCAAAATGTGGCTCTCCCCAAACCGCCGCGCCCAGTCGTCTTGAACATTCAAGACAGTACGAAAGATGGAGGGCGGTTTCTTTTCGAAATGCGGTCCGTGTCTAAACGCCGCGCACATTCGCTTTTACAGTTTGCATGAGTTTCAAGGACTTGTATGGTTGAAGCACCAGGAACGGTTTTCTGGCACGAATTAGGATTGCGAGGGCACTATAGTCACGTTGACTCGCGGTGCTGAAGTCCCGGGAGTTGTGTTTCGGCACGATTTCGGATCGTCCGGACGCAACAGTCACGTTGATTCGCGGCGTTGAAATCCAAGTAATTGCGGTTTGGCACGATTGATGATGTTAAAACGGTTGTCTTCCAATGGGGCGTTCCCCGCAATAAACGAAAACTCGTGCAGGGACCGATGACGAGGAAAATTGGAGGGAGGGTGTATTGCATCATCGCTGATGCGTTTTAGGTCTACACGGGTCCTCCTCCTCCTCCTCCTCCTCCTCCTCCTCCTCCTTTTCCTCCTCCTCCTCATTTTCCTCCTCCTCCTCATTTTCCTCCTCCTCCTCCTCCTCCTCCTCCTCACAGCTTCCCTTCCTCCCTCCCTCCCTGCTCCGCGGAGGTCCTGGGTTCTGGTGTTTGTTCGCGCACTTGTACTTCTGCATGACGAAAGCCAGACCACAGGCCTCGGCAACGGAGTTCAATACTGACAGCGCCCATGCGACGTCGACAACGACATCATCGCGGATCGAAGATCGACGGCTCAGGCTTCCGGACGTATTTGGCGTTTTGGTAGGCCCCTGGGGGCCTCTGGTGATATGATGACGATGATGGTGATGGCGATGGTGATGATCGTGGTGGTGGTGATGATGATGACGATGTTGCTGATGATGATGACGAAAACGACGAAACGACGAGGAGGATGCGGATGGTGGCCCTGATGATCATGATCTTGCAGTAGCACGCAAAAGTCACACGACCATGATGGCGATGGTGATGACGGTAATGCCTGGGCACAAGCAGCCGCCAACACACCAGTTGGGCACAACTGCCCGTGATTATTCAACCGACGTCCGTGCGTGAGTGCCAGGTCGCAGAAGTTGTAGCCGCTGCGTTGTCACACACACACACACACACACACACGCACACACACACACACACACACGCACACAGACACACGCACACACACACACACACTTTTACGTCGCGGCGCGGCAGAGGAATCTGTTATCGTGTCCGAACGAGACCGAGACACGGAGTCGCGAATTAACCCCATATGCAAAAGGAAGGGGGAGAAAAGGAGGGAGCGGCCGCGGAGGGGGAAGCCGGGCGCGGGGGCACTCTCACACAGCGGGGCTGCGGCGAGCGCGCGGGGGAGGCCGGGCTGAAGGGCAGCCCCTGGCAGCTGTCGCGGGGCGGCACCGCGATGCACCACACACACACACACATATCGTCCAGCGCCTCGCCCTGTCCTGCACAATGCCGCGAGCTGGGCCCCGACCGCCGCGGCAAAACATGCCTTCCCCCTCCGCGCGCGGAGCCGTCGAGAGAGGGTCCCGTGCCCGTGCCAGGCGCGCCGCGCGCTGGAGCGACGCTGGCCCTCGACGCCTCAGCGAAGCAAACAGCTGCCCGCACGCTGCGCGAGGGACCCGCGCCATGCACCCCAGGCATCCTCCAGTCTGACTTCTGCTGTCCTCGAACAGGAAGTCGACTACAGAATGGTTTCACCCCAAAATTAATTGTGCAGTCGAACCTACAAAAAAAAGATTTGAAGTATTTCCCTAATCAGAGCTTGCCTCTGTAAGGGTCCTAGCGGATTCATATGGTTAGGTGAGGCTTGCCAAAGATTTCCGCGGCCTGCCTGGGTGCCTTACAGCCCTGTCGCCCTATGCCCATAGGCCTCTATCCCTGTAGCCCCATAGCCCTTTTATCCCTATAGCCCCATAGCCCTATAGCCCCATAGCCCTATGGACTCATGGCCCTATAACCCTATAGCCCTATAGCCCCAGAGCCATGTAGCCCCATAGCCCTGTAGCCCTATAGCCTTATGACCTTGTAGCCCTATAGCCCTAGAGTCCCATAGAGCTACAGCCCTATGGCCCTATAGCAATATAGTTCTATAGCCCTATAGCCCCATAGCCCCATCGCCCTGTAGCCCAATAGCCCCATAGCCTTATAGCCCTAAAAAGACTGTGATTGTTTTTTTTTCTCCGGTATCATTGTTTCACAGATACCACGGAAACTATATGTTACTGTCAAGCAATATCGATGTCGGCTTACTACTCGAAGCCCGCGGCCCCAGACCCAGGGGCAGGCCGGCGTCCCCGACCAGCGCGTGGGGGTCCTGGGGCCCGACGACGGACCTCCGAGGGCAAAGTCTAGGGCCCCATGACGGGCCACGGGCCCGATGACGGGCCCCCGAGGGCCAAGGTCGAAGAAATATACCGCCGCGGATCTGGGACTGCGCGCGACACGACAGGTCCACGGCGGCCCCCGCCGCGACATCGCGGCGGGGCGCAGACGCCACAAGCCAAGGACCGGCCGGCCCGCCGCGCGGCCGCCGCCGCTGTTCTCAGCGTCGGCGTCGTCGTCGTCGTCGCCGCCGCCGTCGTCCTCGCCGTCCTCGTCGTCGTCGTCGTCGTCGCCGCCGTCGGAGTCTCCGTCGTCCTCGTCTTTGTTCTCGTCGTCGTCGCCGTCGTCTCCGCCATCGTCGTCGGAGTCGTCGTCGCCGTCGTCGGTGCCGTCGTCGTCGTCGTCGTCGTCGTCGTCGTCGTCGTCGCCATCGTCGTCGTCGCCGCCGTCGTCGTCGCAGGCGTCGTCGCCGTCGTCGCAGGCGTCGTCGCCGACGCCGTCGCCGTCGTCGCCATCGTCGCCAGCGGTGGCGGCGGCACGCCCGATGCTCGCCGTCGGCGCCGGCGTCGTCGCGGGCCGATGGCGGCGCGGTGAGCCGCCCGCGGGCGGCCGGGGGCCCGCGCCAGCAGCCCCACCAGCACGCCGAGGGCGTAGAGGGCCAGGGCCTCGGCCGACGCGCGCCGCCGGCGCAGCCTCACTCGGGTCGGGCGAAAGGGGGGGATAGCAAAGGGGGGGTTTGAGAATCAGCTCACGTAGCTGATTTTCCCCGCGCCTCCCGGCGCCGGAGGCGGCCATGTATCGAGGAATGGGCCCCTCGGTGAGGCCGAAACCAGCTGCATGCAGCAAATTTCGTAACCCCCCCTTTCCCAATCCCCCCCTTTCGCCCGACCCGACTCACCGCTGGAAGGCGGCCTCCACAAGGCTCGAGCTAGAGTGGGGGCCCGGCCACAAGAAACCTTCCAGAAGGAACCCAACCCTGAGACCCCAGGACGTCCACGGATTTTTGTGGCGGGAGCGTCACGCGCTCCATCGCAAAACCATCGAAACCCAAGAAACCCAGGGCAACCTGGAGGCGAGCAGGGTGTTTCTCAGGGCTGGACCTAAACGTTGTTTTTCGTTTCGTTGTCGTTTTGCTGTTCGTATTGCTCTACCTGTTTTCCTGTACCTCCCTCCCAAACTCAGAAACAATACACAGCCGAAGTCCAGCAAAAAAGCGTTTAGGTCCAGCCCTGGTGTTTCTTGGCATGGGTCTCCACTGTAGAAGATGTTTTACGTTTCGTTGTGTTCGTTTCCCGTCCTTCCGTCTTCGTCCTGCCCCCACTGCGAAAGAGGGTCAAGACGAGAGCGGTCCGCGAGATCGCCAAAACACCGTTTAGCGAGCCCTGGGCCTCGAACATGGCTCCAAGTGCCCTTAGGATCGCGCGGCAGAACAGCCCCGATCGCCCTCCGAGCCTCACAGGGAGGCCCCCGGGAGGCCCAAATCCTTCGAAGCCCATATGTGTTTCAATGTGTCGTGCCTTCTCGGCTTTTCGCGTCCGACGGGCTCTCGAGGCCTCGGGATGGCCCCAAGAGAGCCCACGATGGCCACAAGAAGAGCCCGCCCCCGCCGCTGTCAATGTCGTCGCTACCGCCGGCGCCGTGGACGTCGTCACCGACGCCGCCGTCGTCGTGGGAGTCTGGGATGAAGCAGAGGAAGAGCGAGCACGCAGGAGTGCGACAGGGAGCAGGAGCAGGCGGAGGACGGCATGTGCACGTGCCTGCTACTCCAACAACTCCCCACACGGTGCTTGCACTGAAGCAGGGACGATCCCTTCTTTCTACGGAGCTGGGCCTGGTTGTCGCCCAGGCCGGCTGGTGGGCCGTCCGCCGCCGCCCGCCGCTCTGGCCAGCTCGTCGCCGCCCGTCCCCGCCGTCGCCGCTGGGCCCCGGTGGCCGTCCGGCTGGCTCGTCGCCGCTTTGCTTTGCATTACAATCGCATTGCACTGCATTGCGATCGCATCACATCGCATTGCTCGGCACTCATTTGCGCTGCATGCATTGTGCTGCATTGCGCTGCGTTGTTTTGCGTTGCTTTGCAATGCTTTCCGGTGCTTTGCACTGATTTGCACTGATTTGCCACTGATTTGCATTGTTTTGCAGTGCTTCGCCTTGCAATCGCATCGAGTGGCATTGCTTCTGGTGAGGAAGCTCCAGGCCAAGGTCGTCGACACGCTGCAAGGCGAGGTGGAGAGGCTGCGGAGCCGTCAGAACGGGCGACTCAGGCGAGGTCACCCGTCGTGAAGAGGTCGCGCGGCCTGCTCTACGCTCACGTGTTGCAGGGGAGCGACTGTCGGGTAGCCGTCGTCTTCGTCGTAAGTGTGCATGGCATGCTGCGCAGTGTCCGAGTTTGGGGTCCTCGCGTGAGGTCTGGACGGCTGCCCAGGGCCACGCCTCGGCGCAGGTGTCCCTTCGACTGCACCCACTTCGGCGATCCATTGCCACGTAGAGATAGATCTGCGTGGCCGAACCTGTGCCGACGAGAGCCATGGTGATCGACACGCTGGCGGGGGCTGCGCCGTGGAGTGCGGGAGGGCCACGGTTCGATCGAGGTGCTGGGGCCCACTTCTTCCTTGGGGACCGCCGTGCAGAATGCACGAGCTGCTGGCCGCCTCGTCCCTGCCGCCCCGCCAGCCGATCGGCAGACCACGCAGCCGCCTGACGTGTCGAGGGCGGAGTGCGCCTTCCCGGCCAGCGAGCGGGTGTGCAGCCGGGCGGTGCAGCACGGCCCGATCGCCGAGGTGCAGCCCAACGACTCTTCGGTCGTGCAGGAGCCCCAGGCTGGGTACAGTGGAGGCCAGTCCACAGGAAGCCTTCCACGAGAAGCCCAACCCTGAGACCCCCAGGACGGCCATTGCCTTTTGGTGCGGGAACGTCGCGCTTTCCACAGCAAAGCCATCGAAACCAAAGCGACCCAGGGCACGCAGGAGGCAAGTAGGGTATTCCTTGGCATGGGTCTCCACTGCCTCTCGTGGCTGCGGTCCACCCCCGTACCACGAAGGGCTCCGAGGGTGGGGGGCGCAGCGCAGCTGGCCGAGCCTGCGCTGCCGCCAGGGGCCGTGCAGAGCGTGCCGGGTGTCCGTGCCGCAGCCTGCGGCAGGGCGGCCAGCAGCCCCCGCAGCCGAGCAGAGGGTCGACGATGCGGTGAAGACGCTGCAGTCTGGCGAGCGTTTTCTCTTTCGGCGTTTCGACATTGGGCGAAAGGGGGGGGGAGGGGGGGGGTCTGGCTCCAGACCTCTGCTCAGTACGACTGTTTGCAACAGTGTGTAGTGTCCTGTGGGGGAGGGGCTCCACCTGCTCGGGACAGGCGCAAAAAGACAGCCAAGATCCACTCCACGGGCGGGGGGGGAGGGTGGGTGCGAGAGCCTGCGCCGATGGGCAAAACAATGAATTAAAAAAAGATCACCTGCTGGCTGTGGGCTCCGGCTCGCTGGAGGTCGATTGCCCTCTCCGTGGTTTGGGCAAGGCGATCGGCGAGGCGGGAGCCTGCGCGGGTGCTCCGGGCAGTCGCAAGTATCCGGCCAGCAGGGGCGCCGTCTCCCAAGGGGCGGAACCCTCAAGAGGAAGGCCCCGACGAAGGAGAGCAGATCCTTCGGGGCGTGCGGGTCATCAAGCGTCCTCGTCCTCGCAGATGCTGCAAATGCTGCATGGGCCATTTGCTGTTGGAGCTCTCTATGCCGAGTCTCTCCTACGAGTGCGAATGGTGCCGTCGGGCCTAGCCCAGAGGCTCGACGACGTTCTGGTGCCGCGAATGCAAGCATACTTAACTTAGGGGAACGGAAATGGCATAAACAGAAAAACTCGGAGGTCCGCGAGGATTTCCCAGATCGGCGATGAACCCCCCTCCCTGGCGCGCGTAGCGCGCCAGGGGCGGCGCCGGAGGCGCCGCCAGGGGGAGCCAGCGCAGATCCGAGAAATTCGCGCGAACCTTCGAGTTCGTATGTATATGTCATTATTCATTCCCCTATTAGTGTGTGCGGGCATTGTATCCGCTAAAATCCGTGCTGCGGCGAGCGCCGGAGGAGAAGGAGGAGGAGGAGGAGGAGGAGGAGGGCGAGGAATTCCGTAGCCATTTTGGCTCAAGTCCGTAGCGTTTCGCTCAGGGACCGAAGCCTTTTTGGCGTGGGGGAGGCGCGCCCCCGCCAGTGATCCTGCGATCTTTCTCTTTCACTCACAGCCAACACTTCTGGCTACGGTAAGCTCTGCGGCCGTCAGTTCCCATGGGGCGCAATGGCGGCAGCAGGCAGCAGGCGTTCAGCACCACCTGGACGTGCTGTAACAAGAAATGCGGTTTCGACAACAACTTTCCTTGGCGTACAACGTGCTGGGCGTGTGGCAAGGCCAAAGGTGCGGGCCCCGCACCTTCGGTGCCGCGCCCACCTGCTGGCGCTTGGGTGCGTCCTCCTCGGCTGCAGCCTCAGGGAGGCTCACCCAGTGCTGGACAAGGGCCTGGTGCAGTCGGCGGCAAGCTCACCCCTGAGCGCAGGGACGCCATGCTCGCCATGTCTGCCGAGCATTTCGAGGCCTGCAGCATCTGGCTCTCGCCTGGTCAGAAGGCGCACCTGCTGGGGCTGCGAGCTGTGCAGACGGGCGACCCGCTGGCCCTCAGTCGCCAGGCCAAGCAGCAGCACGACATGCTCAAGGATCAGGTCGCCAAGGCCAAGAACGCCTGGGAGAAGTCTCAGGAGGTGCTGGCCAAGCAGCTGCAGAAGACTGCGGAGCTCAAGGCGAAGTACGTGGAGCTCGAGGCCAAGGAGCTCGAGGCGGCCCGCGCCGCCGCCAGCGCCTTCACCGAGCTTGGGCGTGCCTCCAGGCCTCAGCCTGCTGACCATGCTGCGCACCTTGTGGAGCAGCTGCGGGAGCTGGGGGTCGAGGCGAGCGTGGTCGACTCGATCAAGCAGGTCGCGGAGGCCCGCCAGAAGGCTAAGAAGGACGAGGAGGAAGCGGCTGCTGCAAAAGCCCGTGCTGAGGCGGCAGATCGTGCTCATGAACGTGATGCTGCTGGTGGCGCTGCTGCTGATCCCAGTGATGCTGCAGGCGATCACGACCTGGACATGGACGCGGCCATCGGCAACCTCAAGCAGGGCGACTGGATGGACAAGCTCGTCAGCTCTGCAGGTGAGAGCGGCATCACTCGATCGCAGCTGGAGGCTGCGCTCGATGAGGCCGGTGCTGATTACAAACGGAAGCGCGTTTAGCCGTGCGGCTAGATGCGCCCTGGGGCCTAAGGCCCCGAAGTTTTGGAATATTATCTCCGCCAATGTCACTGATCGCTCTGGGCTTGACATTTTCCTCTCCTCCCCCTCTGTGCTCCAGGCTCAGCTAGTCGGTGTGCAGGAAACGCGGGTGTTGGAGGTTGAAGCTTGTGAGCATAAACTCAGGCGGCAAGGGTGGAGAGCTAAACTTTCGCCAGCCCGTCAGACGGCTGGAGGCGGTATTTCTGCTGGCACGATGCTCGCTGTGCCAAAGCATATCGGCCTGGCGCCGATTGAGAGCTTTCCGATCGACGTGCAGGCGGGGAGGATGATGGTGATGCATGTGGGAGGTCTCGTACCAGGGGGTTTCCTTGCGTGCACGCTCTATCTGCATCATTCTGTCGGACTTGCGCCAGCCAACTGGGATCTTCTCT